ACGTAAATTACATATATCAATACACCGATTATTCCTATCCTGATGACAGGATTACATTCGTACAATGCATATTTCGTTCTGAATCTTCCCCTTTACTGCTAGGAACATAAAGGTTCAAGGAAATTGAAAACAATTCTCAGAGATGTACTCTTGAAGTTCCTGTTTTTCTCCTCGATTTCAAGTTCAAGAAGTTCTGTCAGAAAATAAATCAATGTTAAATGTTAGACCCAGGGAATGTGGCAGTTTGAGCCGAGCCTAGGTTATGTTGACCCAAGTATTGCAGTTACGAGCAGATCACTGCTGAGCACTGATCCAATCGTGTAATTTTCATCCCTGTTGTGAGTTTTATGATCGGGGAATAGTTCGCCAGTTTGATGTCTGCATTTCCAATTTCCAATACATATAATGTTATGTAAACAACCTGTGCCAAGTTAGAGTTAATACCGGAACGCCCCCGGGGATATATTTCTCCCACATTGCTACTCCCATCCTAGAACAAGGTTTCGGGTTACATGTCACCCTGCAAGTGTCAGCTGGGTAGATTGCGAGCACGGGTTGTATTTACCTTACCGTTAACGTTAACTGAGACATTTTAAGTTTGAAGTGCTAGCAGACGTTTGAACATTGTGTAAGCAATGGCACAGTTTTTATACGTGTTCTATCTTAAATAATATGTAAATGAAATTATATAAGCTTCAACAACGTGTGTGCCGTCACGAACTGCATGGGACGGTGGTAAAGTGACATAACTTTATGTATTAGTCTCATGTCAACGGGGATGGATATTCATCTCTTGGTGTTGTAATTAGTCAGATTATTAACTTTGTGTGTGTCCGTTCATAATACGATAATATATATATACCCTGCACTACACACGCGGCAGATTTCTGCAAGTGGTTAAAGTTTATCTGCGGTAACCGTATGCTGTGTTGCTCCCTGTGAATATGAAAAGTTTAGCTTAATCCACTCAAATTAATGACCTAACGTGACCTAGTTGTAGTTTACTTTTGCTTACAGTTCTTGGAAAGGGTGGAGCTGTATCTGCTGATCGCTTAACAATAGACAGACATTGTACGGTGGTCGCAAGCGAAGTACACACAACACGTTACCGTGTGTCCTATTTGAAATAGAAGAAACGAGTCTTCCTTAAAATGTCTTAGTCACAAACATGTAGTGTTCTCGCCACGTAACCGGTTGTTACAGACATTGGCAAGAAAATATTTCATCTCCGTTCTGTAGAAATATATCAGCATCTCATTATAAATGTTCTTGTTTTGTTCCATTCTGATTGTCTTTGTTGTTATTTATATCTGCTGAATGTTTTCTTTGTTAGTTATTTGAAAAGAAGATATTGCTGATTTTTAAGTGACTGACATCTCAAACATTTTGTACACATTTTACTAAAATCATTTTTTTATGAAATAAACATGACCACTTAGGTAGAGGACTATCTGCTGATCATGAATTATCATTGTCCTGATATATAACAGGGAAGACTTAAAATGAAATCGATGTGGACAGATACTTAGTATTTAACAGTAGCGCATTACTTATTCACGAAGTGATTGTGCTTTTGTAATGGCAGTGTCAATCAGTAAACATACGTTATTGACGCATTGTACTGAGAAGGATATGTATTATATAAAATCACATGGAGTTTGACGTTGTAAAGTCTCAGTGAAGGTTTCAAAAGTTTTAATAAATAAAAGTGACAAAACACTTTCCATATTCCATTGTACGATTTCGACTATATCAATACGTTTATGAATCACTACTTCTTGCCTAAACGTCTACCCCCAAATTCTTTAAAGCTGTTATGAATAATGAATCCAGCATTTCACACAGTGTATTCCTAGTAAACTTCAGATGGCATTTGCTTTCATTTTGGATAAATTTACCTTAACCTCTGAAGATAGATATGTGACGATATCTATGGTCATTTCGTTTTGTAACAAAAGCCCCATGGATCAAGGAATGAAGTTTTTCCTTAGGTTTGTCGATCATGGACAAAACTATAAAATACCTAAGATCAGACTTTCTTTGTCCTTTCAGCATTGTATCATACATTGAGAATAAATATCAACATTGTCTCGAATGTCCATTTCCACATGTACGACTTCCTACCATTGTACACCTATATCGCTACAACCTACGAGAAGCTAATAATGATGTACAGCAATAGTTTATCTCTAATTGTGTCAGCTATGTGTGTATATCTTGCTTTAAATTGAAAACGTGAACGCCAGAGAATAATCAGCCTCGAACATCTGCTGAAACTCCATCAGGCGCAAAAGACACATGGATCACTTAAAGTGGTGACATGTGTATTTTTTCGTTAACAATTATTAAACAGCTTGTGAATATCACCCCAGATGCCGTGCCAAGGCCTTTCTTCGAAGCTTGACCACTGTCGCTGCTGGGTGCATGTTTATTATTTTTACTATCAAAACTGTATTTTTGTATTTGATACTGACCTCTGGCATGATGTTATACACTGCCACTCTATTGTGTACTGCCATTGAAATTGCTGTTCAGTAATTTGTGTTGATTTGTAAACTTAGTGAATATTGCAATACATTTGCTGATTGTGTATTCCATTTTGTTGTTTGGTTGTTGGTTTCACACTAAGTTCTTTTACGTGCTTATTTCTGGGTTAAGGTACTGTTTCAATTAGGGAATCGACCACTCACCAAATGATAATAACCTCACATTTGAAAAATACAATTGTACAAGTTATCAACGTTTCAACTGTATCATGGTGGACGTCACCTAGGAACAATCTCTGAACCTGACATCCTCCTTTTCACCCTTCACAGCACATTCACAGCAGACTAGTGAGATTACATTACGTGAAAGTAAGATTACTTTCAAGTGAGATCAAACTGCATTTACCCAAATCACAGGTGGTTAAACATTTATAAAACATAAATCACAATTCAGACAATCGGAATGAAACAAAGACTCATGTTTCATCTACTGATGCTTAAAGGGACTTGCATGTACAACAATGTGGATGTATTTCTACTGAACTGAGAGATTCCAATGTGAATTTATCCCATTTAAAATGAATAAGATGAATGTTCATGTCATGTAAACGGAAATCCTTTCTGAATCACATATTCAAGACCAACATGTTGTTTACGACCGCAGGACATGTTTACCTATTGTTGAAGCGATCAGCAGATGTAGCTCAACCCCTTCCAAGAACTGTACAAGTAAACAGAAACTAGGTCACGTAAGGACATGTTTATCAACCTATGAGGCGATCAGCAGAAAGAGCTCTACCCTTTCCAAGAACTGTAAACAAAGGCAACAAAAGCTAGGTCACGCTAGGTCATATATCAAGGGAAGCTTGTCAACTTGCACGAATCTGCCACTCGGTGGGTGCAGGGTATATGCACCACGCCAGTTGACTTGTCATATATCATTGACGAACGGACGAGCACTCGAGCGAACACTCACAGGGTTAATAATCTGATTAAATACTACACCTCGAGATGACTACTCCTGTTGACATGGGGGCGATCGGGTAGCCAAGTGGTTAAAGCTTGCTTGTCACGCCGAAGACCCGGTTTAAATTCCCCAATGTGTGAAGCCCATTTCTTGTGTTCCCCGCCGTGATATTGCTTAAATATTGCTAAAAGCGGCGTAAAACCATACTCACTCACTCACTCCTGTTGACATGACATTAATACATAAAGTTACTTCCTAACACGAGCATGCTACATTCAAAGGAGGCTGGACATGTAGATCTGGATGGTGCTCTTGGTTTTGCTCACTGGACGTTTGGGTTACTAGTATCTTTGGTCAAAGTTATCCCGAGTGAGTGAGTTGGGATCAAACCTGCTTTTAACAGTATTTCAGTTGCAGCACAGCATGCCAGCTTTGTGTGGGTTGAAAGCCCGAAATAAACACGTGTCAGACGTTTACAACTTTGATAAAACCCACGAGCACGAATATTTGGCTGACAATACATAGATCATCATCACCTTGGATTCGAACCTACGTTCACAGGATCCTGACACGCCTAAGGGCCGCAAACCACTGCATGGAATAGTCACCTCAATCATATATAGGCTTGGAATAACATTTAGTCAGTATAATATTAGCCATCGCAAATTTAAGAGAGGTTAGCATAATATCGTCTTTTGAACTCATAATTTGCAAGATTTGTTGAAGAGAATTAACAAGAGTTACCTTGAAGAATATATATAATTTGTATTGAACTCTTATTGTCATTTTTGCGAGAGATGGAAAAAATACTTACTCGTGCTTTTCCCATTCACATTAAATATATTTACCAGACCCGATGAGACATGTGCACGTGCATCATTCAGGATAATCTCACGTGTTCTATCTTTTTGAATGATTTTCCGAATTTTCTATCATATTTTTCTGAAAATATAATATATACAGATTTTTCTCATTACAAACACATATGCTAAGCATATCGCTTAATAAAATATTTTTTGGACCAAAAAACAAACATTAACTCAAAATATGAAAATGTTTTAGTTTATCGCTTGCTGAAGTAAATCTCGTAATATGACCTACTTCAGCGGAACCTTGAAATATCACTCCCCGGAGTCTGCATATTGTGCATACTGTTGGCTACAATCATTTAGAACGTTAAGGACAATACCACACTGGCTGTAATATCCCAGTCTGTGGCATCAGAAATAACATCCACTCACTCAAAGACATTCACAGTAATAGACCACAAGTCTTACAGAAAGTGGGAAGACTTTTATTGGAGAATATTAGTGACAACGTACAAGAGAGGGAACATTGAGTCATATATTGTGAAGCAACTAGCATGGGTGCCACCAGGATACGCTCACAGTGGATTCTTCTTTCAGCAAAGACTTCTTACGAATATATAACTGTTTTCGTTGCATTTATTGACAACAAATATAGAGGATATCCATGTGTTCAGTGAAATACCATGTTTCTCTCATCGAGTGACATGATATTTCACTCGACACATGGAATATCCTATTTATTATATATTGTTTGTGTAGCTGTCTACCAGAAAATTAAATTATTTCATTTCAAATGTAAAACCTTGAAACGTAAGGTCTCCCTACCTCACACACAGGGGCGGTTCACTGCCCCTTGTATTTGCGACTTACAAAGTGTTTCTCAAATCTTAACAGGAGACTGCTGTTGGAAGCGAAAGAATAGACGCTGGCCAAGTTACAAAAGTGGTGCATTGCGAAACGAACGATTGACGAGTTAAATGAGAAATTTACAGTTTATAAGGAAACATTTTCGAGAGGATAACAATCGGCAAGAAATGATATTAATTCCATAAACGACCATCTGACATTGCCTTGTCAATGTGGACCTAACGTAAAAAGAACGTCTACAGTTTATGTACGTGCTAGTCACTTACGACAAAGGGAGATAATTTAAGGGGAGGTAACACTTGTATGACAACATTTCCGTCAAAGTGTTCCGTAGAAGTTAAATTATCGGCTAAATGGAACAATACAGATACTCAAAGGTAATTATAATCAAATACGTTGCAAAATAGAATATTGAAAGAAATACGATAATTATCTTTATACCTAAATACTGCAATAAAGGAGCCTTGTATTTTCAGTTTTGAAATGCAGATGACGGGAAACAATCTGCAAACGAATACAAAGATTTCCTGGAGCCTTTCGTCCGGTCTTTGGTGGCGTCTTCAATGGACTGGAAATCCACCATAACCTGCTTTTTCTTCCCATTATATTCTCTGCAACAAGGACAGTTATTGTAAGTGAAACTGATTTAATGTGTGTTTAATCCAAACACACTTACTTCAAGTGTTAGTAGTATTTCCTTATGGAAATGTGACAATATGGACTTGAAATCCAAATATGTAAACAAGACCATGTAATCCTTTTATACTTTTTATTTAACATAACCTGACATTCCGTTAAATATGTGCTTCGAATGTTTCATGGATATATGGAATACATGTACTGGTGACTTACAAATATCTGCCATGGATAGAATTCGAGAGTGACATTTTCAGTCACGCGGCAGAGGTAGGGGATTTATCTCATTGATAAGTATACACTAGAATTCGTCACAGTCTAATCAATTTTTATACAACCTATTGAATAAAAACTGACTACAATTCTAGAAACAGTATTCAGAGCTTATAGGTGTAAGTGAGGAATTCTGGTTGAAATCGTAACAAACCTTATTTCGACACGAGCCGCCTCAAACAGGATCTTCGCGGCTTTTACTTCCTCCTTGTCATGTTTCTTGTCCGAGTAGTAGACCACTGTCTTGATGCCAGACTGGATGATGATCTTGGCGCACTCGTTACATGGATACAAGCACACGTACATAGTGCAGTCTTCCAAGTCTGCTGTGAACTTGTTTATCACAGCATTCATCTCTGCATGGCAGACTGCAAGAAAATTAAGGGACATACACCAAGGGTATACACTGATGAGTGCAAATAAACTTCAGGCAAACCTGATTAATTAAACACAAAAAATACATCCACCCCTACCCGCCCAAATATGCAAATGTACTTCAGCCTTAAGTGATTTATTAACTGTTTGTTCTCTGGCGCTGAGTTTTTCTGAAAGCTCCATGTATTTTAACATTTCAAGAAAAGGAGACGAATTTCGAAGCCAGATTTCAGTATGAGTGTGTGTGTGTGTCTGTCTGTGTGTGTGTGTCTGCCTGTGTGTGTGTCTGCCTGTGCCTGTTTCTGTGTGTGTGTCTGTTTCTGTGTCTGTTTCTGTGTGTGTGTCTGCCTGTGTCTGTTTCTGTGTGTGTGTGTGTGTTTGTGTGTCTGTTTCTGTGTGTCTGTGTGTGTGTATGTGCTTGTGCGTGTGCGTGTGCGTGTGTGTGTGTGTGTGTGTGTGTGTGTGTGTATGTAATTCTTTAATGTTGACATGTTGCAATTTTCATTATTATAACTTACCGTAATAACGTTTAGTTCCCAGTTGGCTGGCATCGTCTTTTTTACCCAAGGGGAGCAATCTATCGCTACAACTGTTAGGCATCCCGTTGTTACCTGTTCCGACGATCCTTTTCTTAGGATTGACAATACACGCTCCGACCTACTCGCCCACAATTTATACATTAGCTGTGTTAAAGAGAGAATCTCACCCGAGTGTCTTTTGATATCAAATATATCAACACGAGTTGATAAAAGATGAAAAAAAGTTTATCCACTTTTATCAACGAGTGTTGATATATTTGATATCGAAAGACACGAGGGTGAGATTTTATTTATCATCCAACATCATTCTTCCAACTTTTTACAGTTTGTAGACAGTAACAAACGGCGTCATAAAAAGTCTTGCTAACAGCTTCAGTAGCAGAGCCATTAATGATGTCTTTTTATTGTGACGTCATGGTAACCCGTAACGTCACAATGGCCTGCAAAGCATTGTGATGCAATTTCTTTGCAGTGATATCTTCAATGTAGATATCGCTTGACCTCACCCAAACGATATCTCCTGAGGGGGCCAGTTTTGTATGATAGGTATGTTATTACACAACAGTGTCCTTTTAACTGTTAGGGGTACTGCAGGGTAGGGTACATGTCACAGGATGGACTCGTTACAGTGGCCAGACTGTGTGTAATTGCTACCCCGACGGCGAGGGTAATTGATAATACTGTTTATTTCTGTTGACATTATGCTTAAAGTTCTGTCGTATTACTGCAGTGCAAACAACTTCTTTAAGACCCATCGCTTCTTTTCCCTAAAGGCACGTGATATACATGGTTCCCAATTTTACCTGCGTGACGGGGTCTTTGCTTCTCATTCCAGACAGAAATGCAATGGCCATGAAGTACTCCTCCCAGTCCAGTTGGCTCTCTCTCTTGCCACTTTCACCAAACTGTCTGTTGTATGTAAAACAACAAAAACCTAACAAAGTATCTTCTTTTACTGGCATTTCATCTACGCACTGCACTTGTGAACAGTTGTATTACAGAATGGACTAGAGGATTACCAATAGGTAGTGCTTTGAGTAAACAATGTAATGGTACTACAATATTCCCAAGAGGTTCGTTTGTTCGTGAATTGGCGTTTACACGAGGCCTGCCTGTATTGTGTATTGTGTCTGCAATATGCTTGTGAGAGATTCTAATTTGACTGTATTCATTTAAAATTATGATATGTGTGTGTATGTGTGTGTGTTCGTGTGTGTGTGTGTGTGTGTGTGTGTGTGTGTGTGTGTGTGTGTGTGTGTGTGTGTGTGTGTGTGTGTGTGTGTGTGTGTGTGTGTGTGTGTGTGTGTGTGTGTGTGTGTGTGTGTGTGTGTGTTCGTGTGTGTGTGGCATTCCTCTCTCCTGACAGACGCTATTTCAGACCCTCCCCCTTTCAGCGTTCTAATATTTTGCATGAGAAAATGTTTTATCTAATACAAACCTTCCCGATGAATACAGTGCATATGCACTATCGCGTTGTAATGATTATAACAACCGTAAGTAAATCATTCATTGAAATTCTGAAATGTCAATTTTCTCCTATTTTAAATAAAGCTTTTTTCTGCAATTTATAACGTTGGCAAAACTAATTGATTTTCATATTCGGTTTATTAATTAGTAGTATTTTCACTTTCTATATCAGTTTTCAACGTTTCGACTTCATTTCCCAGAAAATAACGAGTAAGTACGCTCCCCATGCTGGCTTCCTTTTACTGTTATGTTTGTGATTTATTTGCATAGACAAGATAGTTGTATTTTGCTATAGTTTTTTTTGTGAACTGCAATGCGCCGTGAGACTGCTATCCTCGCGCATCCCGTGACATGTGACTATTTTGTTTGGTGCATATGTTAGCAGAATTGAATGTTGTCATCCAAATGTATTTGCGTTTTCATATTGTATTTAACGGTGTGTAACACAGTACATAAAATGATTTTAAAAGACCATTACCAGTAATAATCTGTAGCTTAGCTTAGGTGTTTCATGCAACACACGAGTTAGCTCCCTTTGCCCTTTGTTTACAATGGTTTGGCTAGTAATCGCCCTCGTGCACTATCAGTTGTTTATGTCATCGTCTCATCTAAATTTATGTACTTACAAATTGAAAGGCAACAATGCAGTTTACCGGGCGCAGCCCGAGCTCTACCATCCGCTCATTATCAATTACCGCGCTATAGGGCCACCGCTGTCTCGTTATACCATTACCGTGCCTCACGCTCTGGTGACTCTCGCTTCACGATCCAACGCCCGTTCTCGGTCTTAGGGAAACTTACACATCTTTACGATCAAACACCCGTTCTAGGGGCAACAATGCAGTTTACCGGGCGCAGCCCGGCCTCTACCATCCGCTCAATTACCGCGCTGTAGCGCGGCCGGTGTCTCGCTATACCGTGACCGTGGCTCACGCTCCAATGACTCCAACACCCCTTGGCGGTCAAACACCCCTTGGGGGTCCTTAGGGTTAGGGTTGGGTTAGGGTTAGGGTTAGCCACCATTAATTAGCCTAGCCGATGACCTGGCGAAACGCGTTCGAACCCCCACAGCGCTAATTGGATCTGAAAAAGTGCGCCCGGTAAAGTGCACTACTCCCCCCAGTCGGTTACGCTATTGGGACCGAGACTACAACTCTAACATTTAGGTACATTATGTGTATAAAATACATTACTATGTATTTCTGATAGTTACATACTTATTCTAAAATACAAAAAACGACCGTAGTTCGCTCAAAATTTTTTAGGCGAGCCGGGTCAAAATCGTTTTAGGCGAGTCGGATTTTAGGCGAGTTGGGTGTATCCCGTTTTGGATGATGATGTCGAGGTGTTGCAAAAGCAGTCAATTAGTTTTCCTTTTTGTATTTTAACCTAGTCCGTAATCATAAATGTTTCACTTCTAGACTGATAATAATACATGTATAACAATCTAGACTGCAGTGTCGTGTTGCATTAGTGATCATTGTTGGAGACAAAACCATAACAGTAGTTTTGTTTTCCTGCATAGGAGTCACCATGGAGATGTGTTGCTCCATCTGAAGTGTCTCAGCTGTTTGTAGACTCCTTGGGGGTGAGTGCTGATCAGCAGCTACATTAATAATATTTCAACTTTTAATTACCAATCTAGTCACTGTCCATTTTTTATTATCAGTATTAAGTTGTTTTCAACTATAGCATTCTATTTCATCAACCTGTAATTTCATATAACATTCCTTAGTTGTCACCATGTTGGTATGAACTATTCAGTGTAGGATATGTTGGTTTATCATGTAATTGAAATGTATTTTAATCCTGGTGAATGTAACATCTTAACAGGAGAAATATCTATGTCTGAATATTGTTGTATGAAGTTTGTTGTGAATTGAAATGTTTTTTTCACCACAATAATTTATGTACACTTTTACCATACGGCCATGTTTATAAGAAATGTTATATGTATTTGTTTTAGGTTACGCCATGGGTGGCTACAATTCTGGCTACTACGGCGAATAAAAGTGATGGAAGAGTGATATTTTAATTGGTCCTCTTTAACCCCCAACACAAACACAACTTATCCGCCTTGTAATGGTGCATTGGGATGGTCCAGTTCAATAAATGTTCATGTTTTGATATGAAATCAAGGGATGTTCTTAGTATAGAACTCAATTCACGTTGTCCTCCTTCTTGTCTGTTTAGTGTTTCTGGTTTTATTGATATGGCACACTGGTTGACAATGTTTCAATGATGTTTTACCCAGTACACCTTAAATATAGTAGATGAGCGATGTGATGCACATATAAAAGTAAAATACCCAGTTCATAGCAGTATTCATACATATATCAATACACTGATTATTCCTATCCTGATGACAGCATTACATTCATACAATGCATATTTCGTTCTGAATCTTCCCCTTTACTGCTAGGAACATAAAGGTTCAAGGAAATTGAAAACAGTTCTCAGAGATGTACTCTTGAAGTTCCTGTTTTTCCCCTTGATTTCAAGTTCAAGAAGTTTTGTCAGAAAATAAGTGAATGTGAATGTTAGACCCAGGGAATGTTTGAGTCGAGCCTAGGGGAATTCCTGGGGTGTTTCTGGCTTGGGTGTCAGAAATGTCACAAGACCGAATGTGGAGAACCTCATCCCGTCCTTGGTACGTTGATGGGATCACGTTATACCGACATCCTCTACCGCCTGAGTCTCTTGAACCAACAACCTGAGGTGAAACGGGTCGTCACCATGTGGGAATGCGAGTTTAAAAAGGGCAACAGGAGGACTAACTGCGTGCTTTCTTGCAGGGACGCCACTGTATCCACTTACCTGGTCCGCTTAACCCTCGCGACGCCTTCTATGGAGGACGAACCAATGCCACTCGATTATGCTACGAAGCCCAAGAAGGTAAAACCATCAAGTTTATCGATATCTGTTCACTTTATCCTTACATTTGTAAGACCGGAGCGTTTCCCACAGGACACCCAACCCTTCTTCATCAACCCCCTGTGGACACGTTGTTTGAGCTGAAAGGACTTATCCAATGTCGTGTCCTACCCCCGAAACGACTCTAGAATCCGCTACTGCCCTACAGATCGAGTGGAAAACTGCTCTGTCCTTTGTGCCGTACGTGTGCCGATACCCGGTCAGACTCAGCCTGTGAGCACACGGATGAAGAGAGGTTTTGGGTGGGCACGTACGCCACTGTAGAACTCCATGAAGCCGTGATGAAGTATCGACACCTTTGCAAAGCATGACCCCGACACCCAGCAACCGGGGTTGTGCTTTCTTTCTCATGCTACAAGCTTGACCCTATGTAAAAGAAACACAATGGGTGTGCCACTTGGGTGGCGTGTGGGACAGCAACCAACCAATCAGGAAGCAGGGATTCAGTGCCTTAAACATGTTAAAACCAACAGATGCTCTCTGGTCATCTCTTTTCACTGACCTGTCCAAGCAACAACATCGTCCCTCTGATTGATGTTCCTCACGTTGTGATGGCTGTTGGCGTTTTATCTGGAAGAAACGCGTGTTTTGAGAGAGAACCATCAAGTGTTGACACATCCGTGAAGGTTTGGAAAGAAACAATGGACAGAAAAGTGAATTGACAACATCATGTCCAAACTTATGAATGCCAAGACATGAAGCGACATGGGGGGGGGGGGGGCACGGGTGGCCCAGTCGTCTAAGGCGCCGCAATTCGCTGTGCAGAGTTGCGTCCCTTGGACACGCCAGAAACCTATGATTGTGGGTTCGAATCCCGGTTCGCCCCAATTATGTTTCTAGGTTTGTCAGCACCATACCCGTGCTCGTGGGTTTCACCAAAGTGGTTAACGTCTGAGACCTGCATCACTTCGGGCTTTCCTCCAAAATTAAGCTGACACGCCGCGATATAACTGGAATACTGTTAAAAGCGGTGTTAAATCCAACTCACTCACTCACTGAAGCGACATGGGTGGTAAAGGGAGTGGTGAAGGGAATGATGAAATGACCGCTGAACTGTGGGGTGAAGTGTACGATGTGATGTGCGAAGATAAAGGCCGACGATGTGTACGCCAAGTTACGTACAAAGGCCGACGAAGTGATGTGCGACATGATACGACCGAAGATAAGGAAACTGACTGAACCCAAGAAAGTAGCACCGAAGAAGAAGATAAAGAAGACCCAATAGAAAAAAACCCCATCAAACCAGCGGCAGCAGTATCAACAACTGTAGCAGCAGCAACCACAGCAACAGCAACCACAACAGCAGCAGCAGACACCGAAATGAAAGAGACATCCTTTTTGAAACCTGCAGCACCTGCAAAAAGGCGACCACGGAAGAAATTGTCTCGGAAGATCTCTCATCAAGAACATCTGTAAGTACCATGCTATTCTTAGGGATGTGTATGTCATTATGATGATGATGATGAGTATCACGAATGCATGACTATGATCGTGGGTATACTTAAGGG